CGATAAAAACATAGATAACAAAGTCGATACAAATATCTAAAATCGATAAAGTATCGATTATTATTGGGGCGTATTCTTGTTTTCGTATAACAAAAATTTCCAATTTTTTTATTGGTACGAAAACAAGAATCCGCGGTATTATATCGACAAGTTCCGAAAAAATCGATAGCGAAATCGATCACAAAATCGATATAAATATCGACAACAAAACCGATAAAAATATCGATTACTATATCGATAATTCCCGACAATCCCAAAAATCTCTAAAATCCCGAAAATCTCTAAAATAGTTCCCAGGTTGAGTCTCTGTATCACTATCTATATCCTTTTCTCTATAATTACCTTTATTTTAATCTTTGTTCCTCTATCTTCATCATTACTTTTATCGATATCCTCATCTTTTTCTTTATATTTATCTTCGTTTTTACTTTTATGTTTATCATTTTCTTCATCTACATATTCCCCTTCACCTTTGCCCTTATATAAGTAAAGTGTTTAAATTTACCTTGGCCTACATTTTTGCCTTTATCTTTACGCATCTTTGTTTTTGTTTTTATTTTTACCTTTGCCTTTATCCTTTTCTTTATCTATGTACTACTCACCTTTACTTTCATTCTTTTATTGGTCTTTTTCTAGGTGTTATTTTGGAACCTTTTATTAGCAAGTTTTTGTTAAATTAATACCACATGCATGCACTCAAGAAGTACCTGTTTCAGCCCCAACCATTTCCGTGTGCAATTTCCGTTGAATTTGCCAATTTACTCATAACCAATCAACTGCCGCTAAAGAAGTTTCACTTCAAAAATCAAATTGAGAATGTGTGAGCAGACTGTGAAGCATATTCTCCACAAATGTCCAAGCCGTCATCCTGGATAGTACAAAAATAGGATGCTGAAGTGATTCAAAATATGCATATTGTGGTCTCCCTCAAAATTACTTAATGGTCATTTAACACTCTAGTGTAGCCAATACTAAGTTACTAATGCATCCTTAGAGTGATGGACTAAGGCTGCATAACGAACAGCAACCAAACAATTTAGTAAATTGTACCGACATAGCCAGGACTATGAAGATCTGCCGTGCTTATGCACCCAGCGCCTTCTTTGGAATACGTACCTTACCAGTTTTAATTCTAAAAATAAGGCCACCGACTTTAAAATCGGACACCTGACAGGCCATAGGGGGTTTGCGCGACGCAATAGTTCCAGAACTAGAAATCTCTAGGAACATAAAGCATGCATTGTAGATAGTGTTCTCTGGCATACAGGAGACCTTTGTAGCACACAGTCATATTTACAAAATAACATAAAAGCTGGTATGTGATCATTGCTTCAGCACCCTCAACGCTCTCTTGGAATCACGAACACAGTACTAGTAAACTAGATGTGCAGGAGTGAGACAAGCTACGTGGTTTCTCGGTCCGACTGAGAATGCTAAAAGAAACCTCTTACTTTAGCCAGAGAAAGCCTCCGAACTCTCACTAGGAATTTCACAGGATACTACTTACTTCGACCTAAGGCATTGTGGCTTCAGTGAGCTGTACGAAGAAACGTCAGAACATGATCTCAGTGAATGTGTTGCTCTCGTCAGACGCGGACTCGACCGCGTAGGTGGCCAAGCACCTAATCCAATTGAAATTTGGAATGAAAAGCCCTGCAGGTTACGAGCACAAGCGAAGTCAAACAGTCTCAACCCATTACCGAAGTTCGATCATGGCGACTGAATTTTCCAAAAAAAAATTGCCCAAGGATACACTACTTTCCCACCCTGGCGTGCAAGCCGTCCAGCCGGATTTTAATATCAGTGCCTCTTGCACTGAATTTGTGTGCACTAAAGCTTTTTTTATTTAAACTAATCTGCAAGCCAAATTAATACCCAACCACGTACAAATAAAAATAGAAATAAAAATGAGATAAAAAGTGTAAATAAATTATAAATTAACTATTTCACAAATTCTTGGCGTCGCTTCCATGGCGTAATCTTGGTGCCAATTTATGGATAGCATTTTGCTTAAAACACAAGTGTTATTTGCCACAAAAGCGTCGTATTTCATGTAGCAAACAAGCCTACTGCTACCACTGCTACGTAAGTAGTTACGATGCGCACAACGAAAATAGCTTTTTAATAGCCGCTAATAAAATCTAAAAGCCATCAATTACTTACATGCAACAAACGCTTATAGGCAATGAATCGAGACGGTAAAAGCGTTGTAAATATGTAGATATGTACATACATATCTGTGTTCATATGGAAAAGTAGCTTATGTCGAAAGGCTGGCTTTAGTATAAATCGGCATTCGCAGCATCCGATTGCGAATGACTCACTGGCGCTAAGCCGTTGAAAAACTTTTGGCAAATAAACGTAGAAGAAATAGTTTCGATACTAGCAAGTCAATATTCTTATTAAGTCTCATCAAAAAATTCCTTGCCGTTTAAAAAATAAAGGGATTGCCGCATTATACTAAAGCCAGCCTTTCGACATAAGCTACTTTTCCATACGAACACAGATATGCATGTATGCATGTTTGTGTCCACTTACCCGCCATTAAATAGGCGCAATGGCGCACAGTAGCAAATTAAAACCAAATCACATAATTCAGTGTGAAAAATCACCTGAAAGCCAATACCATTTTGAGGTCATAAAAACTGCATGCAAATTATAGGGATTGTATTACAACTGTGAGCAAAAAAAAAAAAAAAAAAAAAACCCAAAAAAAAAATAATGGTAAACCATTGCTGCTGCCTTTTCCGCTGCACGAAATTACTTAGTAAATATTATTACAAACAATCTACACTAAACGCCAAGTCAGCTTAGTTGCAACACTCAAGGCCTGTTACTCAGCGTCGAAACGGTGGTCAATAAAGTCGAAAAGAAATTAAGACATTTTTATTGTTATTCCACTTGTTTTTTTCATGTTTGCACCATTCAATAATTTTGCGGCTAATTTGTTGCGCTTGCAACATTGCGCCGGCACTGCGGTATCATCAACCAAGAGCTGCAAAGGTACCTACAAAGTATCTGCGCTGGCTGTCGGTGAATGCGAAAAATCATAAACATACATACCTAAGCGCTAAATACACAAGTTCAAAGATTTTGATTGCCGTTTCGGTTGTCGAATAATTTCTGGCACAATTTCCAAGTACTGTTGTTGCATGGTGCATGCAGCGCTAGCAAGGTTGCTTACAAAAGCGCGCTGCTTAGGCAAAAAAATACAGCAACAACAAAAAAAAACATTTGAAAAAATTTTCTTAATTCACACTGTCTTACTTTAGCTGGCTATCTGACCGTCACTTTATTTGCTATTCCATTTTTCAACCACTTATTCAGCTCAGCAGCTAAGCCCTATATTTAATGGGCACCTTCAGTTTGCGCTGCAATTTTTATTGAGGCGGTAATTATAGTGGTCAATGAATGTGGCAGTGATAGCAGTGATTCCTTTCGCTTATTTAGAAAATAATTTATTTGCACAGTGCAATGGTATTTTTTTTTTTAGAGCTCTCAAAGAGGTGGAGAAATAAAAGCTAAGTGCCGGTAGCTAGCCAAGGCAAATACCGATTTCATGAAGTTGAAGAAGAAAATCAAGCGGCAGTAGCTATGGAGTAGCTAAGGGTTTGTTTCATTAATGCAAGACGACTACATAGCTGTACGCAGATCGAAAAAGAAGGCTAGTTTTATCACGTTGTAATACTTGACGAACGACGCGCATCTAGTACTAGAGAACGTTTAGGCCGACCCAACGTTCAGTTGAACCAATAACTTGTTAAACTCCATAGCGCGAACGTGGTCGGCAAAAAATCCTCCGGCTGAACCCTCCACGAGGGTGCTGACTGGTAATGGGCACTACAGAGGATTCTGTGCGATGTCAGAATGGTGCTCAGCTAAGATCAGGAATCAGTGCTATGTGCTAAACTCCTTAATAGCGTAGTCATATGGAAATGGTTTCTGATCGTGGCTTGGAGGTCTGAAGGGGCTGGATCAAGGCGTCACGCGCACCGTACCGAGGATCGGCCAGGCTGGGGGCCCCTAAATAGCCCAGTCGCGAACGGAGCCCTCTGGGAGGCGGCCACACCCAGGATGTAAGTAGGCCTTACCTGGGCATCGCGGATCTCTGCCCGGGTGGACGAACCCCTTTCTCCGCAGCCCGTGGGATCAATTATGGATAAGAAACAATTAACAACAACAACAACAAAAACAGCAACAACATCATCAAAAACAATGTATAAAGGGACCGGCCCCCTTAAAGCGTCGGAAGGGTCTCGGCCCACTAAACAAGGAGCTCAAGCGATGCAGAGTACCTCCACCAGCCGTAGTGCGGTGACAAATAGCGGGAAACCAAGGCCAATGGTGAAACCGGGCCAAGCTCTCGCGAAAACGAAGGAAAGTGGCGGTGGGGCTGCTCAAAGGAGTCCACCCCGGGAAACTCCTGGCACCAGTGGACGCCAACCTGGCATGCAGATTGCAGCCGGGGATAAGGCTGAATCTGGGGCGCAGGCCCCGGGCGGTCCTCCCGCGACACCCACGGCCTTCAAGAGGCCTGACCAGAGGCCAGAACCAGCTGCAGCGGGCTATCGGCAGAGGAAGCTGGCTGCTCGAATCCTGCAAAGGTTCACCGCAACGCCTGACCTGTGTAGCAAGGCGAAAGAAGAGCATGTGAAGGAGATCCTCACAGAAATCGACTGGGCAAAGGCAGTCCTGCCCGACTACCGCAAGCCGGAGGAGAAGCAGCCGCAGGCGCCCTCCAGTAAGCGCAATAGATCGGGGGAAAATACGCCCAACCAATACGCAAAGAGGGTCAGAACGCAGGGGCCTTCTTTTGCTGAAGTAGCCAAGGAGCAGATCCTGCTCGGCGTCATCGATGAGAGCAACGAAGACAGCCTCACCCTGAGGCAGCAATGGAAGTGGGTTAAGGCCGCGATGGCCGACATTGCTATCAACATTATGTTGGAGAATCCGGGACCTCCGCCAGGGGTGGTTCCAAAATAATATCCGCATTATAGCATGCGAGGATGCTAGATCAGCGGAGATCTACAAGAAAACAGTCGCAGGTATTGGAGAAGTCTACCCTGGTGCGAAGCTCAGGGCGGTCGACTTCAAGGACCTACCGGTGCGACCGAGAGCGAGAGCATGGTTGCCTTGCAAACCAGCGGAGCCAGAAAGGATCCTCCAAACCATAAGGCTCTATAACCCGGAGCTACCTACCGATAATTGGAAGGTGGTCAAAATCAACGAAAGCGGTAAAGCGACGATGCAGGTTGTCCTGCTTCTAAATAAGGACTCCATAGAGTTGTTGGAGCAAAAGAGCGGGGTCATACGTTACGGCTGTGATATGGCCAAAATTAAGGTCTACAGCTATGACGTAAACGCAGCGAAGAACCTGATCGCGGAGGTAGAGCCGGAAGAGGCCAACAGCGACGTGGAGATGGAGGAAGAATCCGAGCAGGTTGATCCGATGGACGACCTGACCGGGGGTTATGCCTCATCGACTTCTTCGCTGGGGGTCGGACGCATGCTTCGGCTTTATACGGAGGAGGAGTTGATCGAGATGTCGGAAGACGCGGTCAACTCCACCCTAATAGGCGACGTGGGCGATAACGGCCAAGATGGTGAAGGTACTGCAGATTAACCTTCACCACTGTAAAGCAGCTTCAGCTGCACTGCTGCTCCGTCTAACAGCTAAAGGGGCAGCCGACATCGTCCTAATCCAAGAACCTTGGGTGGTGGGACAAAACATTTGTGGGCTGAAAGCGCCGGGCTACAGACTGGTAAGTGGAGCCTCAACGGGGAAACCAAGGACGTGCATATTGATAAGTATCACACTAAAGTGTCTCTTTCTTCCACAATTTAGCGACGAGGACACAACAGCGGTCAGTCTAAGTGCAAACGGACGACCAATTAAGATGGCATCCATGTACCTAGCGCATGACAAGGAGGTGCCAACTACCTGCATTAAAGACCTAGTGGCCAGCACGAGAGAGGCGCTAATTTTGGGAGGTGACGCAAATGCCCACCATCACACCTGGGGCAGCTCCGATGATAACGAACAGGGTGAGTCACTTTTTAATTTCATACTTAGTTCTAAGCTTGTTATTGCGAATAGGGGGAATGATCCCACTTTTATTACAAAATCCCGAAGGGAAGTTCTGGACGTTACCCTTATCTCTGAGAATGCGGAATGTCTGGTCGGGAAGTGGAAGGTGCTTGAGGAGCACTCCTTTTCCGACCACCGATATATCCAATTCGAGGTATTAGGGGAAACGCCCAAGGCTCCTCTAACTAGAAACTTGCGAAATGCCAACTGGCATAGGTATCGGAAAGAGCTGGATAGGCTTTTGCCACAAGATAGAGAGCCGGCTACTCCAGCAAACCTAGAGGAGCTGGAATATCTTGTCGACCATTTTACGGGGGCCTGCAGTAAGGCAATAGACATTGCATGCCCCAAAAAGCAGCACCGGGGTAGGAAAAAGCCACCCTGGTGGAATGAAGAAATCAGGATTTCACGCAAGAACTGCAGGAAAACCTTCAATCAGGCTACTGCGTCTGGTAGTGAGGGTCATTGGGAGACCTACAAGACAACGTTACGGGAGTACAAGAAGCTCCTAAGAAGGTCGAAAAGAACCTCATGGAAAGACTTCTGCAATGGGGTGGAGTCTATCTCAGAGGCAGGCAGGCTCAGAAAGATACTCTCAGGTACTGCCCAGAAAGCCCCAGGATGCTTGCAAAGACCTGACGGCTCCTGGACAGAGACCGAGGAGGAATCACTGGATCTGCTTCTTTGCACACACTTCCCGGGTGCCACGGATAGCATGCCGGTACAGCCACATCTAACTGGAGATCTTTCGGTCACTGGAGATTTCCTCACTAGGGAAAAGTTCATCTGGTCTATTGGGACATTTAAGCCCTATAAATCAGCAGGTCCGGATGGCATTGCCCCCATACAGCTGCAGCAAACACTTCAGCTAAGCTCAGCGTGGCTGCACGCTATAATTAAGGGAGTATTAGCTCTTAACCATATCCCTAGAAAGTGGAGGGAATCAAGAGTGGTGTTCATCCCCAAGGCAGGGAAGGTGTCTCACAATAACCCAAAGGATTTCAGGCCCATCACCTTGTCGTCATTTCGACTGAAGGTTATGGAGAGACTGGTGGAGGTCCGTATCAGAGAGTCGGTTGGTGACAGACTCTCTACCACACAACATGCTTATACGAAAGGTAGATCTACAGAAACGGCGCTACATGAAATAGTGTCGTATATAGAGAGATCACTAGACATCAAAGAATATACGCTAGCAGCCTTCCTGGATATAGAGGGCGCCTTTAACAACATCATGCCGGGCGCGATAACGGCAGCACTGGCGGGCCTGGGCATCGACTCGCGCTTAGTTGCGCTCGTAAACCAAATGCTGAGATGCAGGGTGGTCCGGGCGGAGCTGGCGGGGGTATCGTTGACCAGGTTCGTAGAGAGGGGCACCCCGCAAGGGGGAGTCCTATCCCCTCTATTATGGGTCGCAGCGGTAAACTCACTGCTGTGTGGCATGGAGGGGGGTGGCTGTAAGGTTATTGCGTATGCGGATGATCTTGCACTAACAGTAAGTGGGAAATTTCCACAGACTCTATGTGACATTATGCAGGTAAAACTGAAGGAAGTCGAGAGTTGGACAAAAAATAACGGGCTAGGGGTAAACCCAAGCAAGACAGAACTTGTACTGTTCACAAGAAGGTACAAAATCCCCCCATTGATAACACCAAGGCTGGCACAGACCACACTAAAATTAAGCGAGTCCGCTAAATACCTGGGGATAGTCCTAGATAGAAAATTAAGCTGGATTCAAAACACCGAAGAGCGGGTGCGGAAGGCCACGGTTGCCCTATACAGCTGCAGGAGAGCAATCGGCCAAAAATGGGGTTTAACCCCGAAGCTAGTGCACTGGATATACACCGTCGTGGTGAGGCCCATACTTCTGTACGGGGTAGTGGTATGGTGGCCAGTGCTGGAGAAGAAAGTAAACATTATTAAATTACAAAAAGTGGAGAGAACGGCCCTGATCTGCATTAGTGGTGCTCTCCGCACAACACCTACTATGGCAATGAACACGATCCTCAACATCATACCCATAGATATTATGGGACGACAATACGCTGCGTTTGCAGCCCTAAGACTACAGGGGCTTAAAAGCTGGAAAGTGGCTCGCTGTGGTCACACTACAATTCTGAGAAACCGACAACTACCGAGTACAAAGGACTACTGTGTACCAAGGCTCACTTTCACTAAAGGTTATAGCGTAACGCTACCTAGCAGGGAATCATGGCTCGAAGGAGTTCCGGGGTCTAGAGATGCCATAAGATTCTACACGGACGGCTCCAAACTAGAAAATAGGGTAGGAGGAGGCGTCTACTCGGAGGAATTGGGAATAAAAAGATCATTCCGACTACCTGACCACTGTAGTGTCTTTCAAGCCGAATTGGCAGCCATACAAGAAGCCGTTGACAGCCTAAAACTAGCTGTTATCGCCACTACGGAAATATATATATACTCAGACAGTCAGGCGGCCCTTATGGCGCTTGACTCTGTCACTATAAATTCGGAAACAGTTGCCAACTGCCGCAAATCACTTAACGTGATGGCAGAGCAGTTCGCTTTGCACCTGGTATGGGTACCGGGGCACAGTGACATACCAGGAAATGAGAAGGCAGACGAGCTTGCAAAGGCGGGTACTTCCTCTCCACTTTCACCAGCCTGGAAGAGGGTGGGTATGCCACTCGCTTCCTGCAAGCTCTTACTAAGGGAGAACTTCCTTGAAGAAGCGGCCTCCAGATGGGAGCGCACTGAAAACTGTAATACAACGAAGCTTACATGGCCAAAATGGGATGTACGGAGATCGAGAGAAATTCTCACTCTCAACAAAGGCGATATGTCACTGGCCATTGGTCTGCTCACAGGACATATTTTGATAGGAAGGCACGCAGAACGCCTCGGGGTTAGTCACAACGACTACTGCAGGAGCTGCCACGACGAAGAAGAGCCTGAATCAATAAGGCACTTACTCTGCGATTGCCCAGCACTGGGCAGGAAAAGACAGAAATTCCTAGGTATAGGTCTTCTAGACGATCTAAGCGCGACTGCCAAGTTTGGAATACGGCAGTTGCTAAGGTTTGCAGACTCCACAAACTGGTTTAAGGAATAGGGGTTTTCTTTGGATCCATGTGGTATCACAATGGGCCCTGATCGGGCCTAAGTGTGCTGGCGCCCTCTGGGCCTAGCAGCCACTTCAACCTAACCTAACCTAACCTAGCGCGAACGTCTTTCCGCAGCAAAAAGGACGCATCTAACAACGCAAAGAAAGCTCGGTTTCGAAAAGTTACAACCACATGGAACAGCCAGCATCTCGTCAGTCGACTCTGGGAGCTCTTCCGGGAGTTGAGAAAGTAGGAGAGACGTCTTCTGTCTGTCTTCGCAGACGGAAAATATAAGCCAAAGCGACAGGAAAAGCGTACAAAAATTTTAACATAAAACTAGGCGACTTACAAAAATGGCGTACTGGTGACCGGTGTCTATCGCAATCTTAAATTATGAAGGGAACTCAACTCCAACTAGCTAGCATGCTATTAGCGTGTGAAAACCCTTGAGATGACAACTATTCGGAGCCAATGACCGATGATAAGAGCATTGATCGCAGGATGACAATATTCTGAAATTAATAGCTGCCGGAGCCAATGATCTGCCAGCTGGGTCACTCAAATACGCAGGCGAGAAGCTGATAAGGAGCGTAGAAGAATTCTCGAATGAACACATTACTTTCCACTGGAATTCAGGTGTTCTCTGTCCAATCTACACCAATTACCGCGGGATCTGTCCTTCAAAAGTCTTATGGAGTGTGTTGTGGCGAAACGTTAAAGCTTACCGTCTAGGAGCTGATTGGACCTTATGAGTGCGACTTTAGACTTGGTAAGTCTACCAGGTATTAAGTTTGCTAGCAAACTTGCCATGTGCTTTCTTAAATCTGATGTTGGAGAACGCTCAGGTAGAATATTTTAAAAGAGCGTATAATTATAGATTTTACGGCAAGACGATGAAATAATCAGCTATATCAGCGGTTCCGCTGCACTGCTCCTGCGATGAAATTAGTCGATGTAGTGTCCGCTGATGGTAATAGAAGAAGAGGAATACCTGCTATGCGCTGGGCACATCAGGTGGAGGGGGCTTTAGCTTTACTCGGTGTTTTTAATTGGTGCCAGCTAGCGTGAATGAACGGCTGGTTTACTTTGTTGAAGTTTGCCAAAATTGCTTAAACGGTTAAAGCAACAATAAAGAAGAAGAAGAGTAACTACTCTAACATTTTCTCAATACATATGTACATAGATAAGTTAAACTACTGCCTTTTTCTTGCAACGTTTTTGAACTTTCTCAAAAGATACGATAATTAATTTTGTATGGCATTGATGAGGAACTGAGTTTGGTATTAAAATTTTTTAGTGACTGTAGTTCTCATTTTCTCCAGCTCGTCATCCAATTCTTGTTGGTGCATTGTCAAACTTCAAACAGATGCTATCGGATCCTCTAATCAATAACGCATTTCTCAATAAGCTGTGCCTTCTCAAGCAAACCTTGCTTTTCTTGGTGAGACAAACTCATTTAGCGAACCAGACAAAAGGAGGCTTCACTAGAGAAATCGCCTCCCTTTCGAAGAAGTTATATTAAATGGTGCAAAACGTAATTGCTTTTGGTCTACCTACAAGAAAGACTTAAAGAAATTTAGGTGTTCCCAACAGGCCTCCATGAAAAATGTCTGCGATAACGTAGAGAAAAAGTCATAGGGCAACCGCTTGAAAAAAGTGAGTCCAAAAAATTCGGAATTTCCGATGTGTATTCAGCAGCCGAATATCCACTGCACGTTATCTCGCGAGGGAATGTCAGATGTACTCGTACTTTTGATTGCAAAAAATTTTATTGCTGGTAGCATTCCTATTGGAAAGGCAAGTCTTTGACACATCTTTTCATCAGATAAAAACTGCCATCGAAAAAACACTAGCCTAGGGTCAGAACTATTAATTTGGTGGCTGGGCACCTCCCCCATAGTCTGCAACTAGATAAGCAACAAGTGGCACCTCGAAGGTCAGTTTTCTATTCCCTCTCCTTTGGAAGTTAACAATGAATACCCTGCTGTCAACAGTTGTGGGAAAAAGTGGCGTGTGATGT